ATCATGCTGCTTATAGAACCGGTGACTATTCTTGCCTTTTTCACGGCATGGGCCATATTCAAGTTGATCTTCAAGCTAGTTTTGTATCCACAATTCTTCACACCTTTGGAGCACATACCAACACCAAATGTACGATATGACCCTCATTTCTTGTGATCAAAGTTGACGCATACTAGAATCGGAATTGGTTGACTGGCAATTCGAATTCTTATTCAATCGAAGTGCCTTATGCAATGATCGAAAGGTGGATCAAGAGCATGCCCGATGCAAGCATGATTCGTTACTATATTGTTGGGAACTCTGAATGGGTCCTTCCCACCAGTCCAGAAGCAATATATGAAATGCTCGTCAAAAGGGCTTACGACTTCGAAAAACCTGAATTGGTTCGGCATGTTATGCAACACCTCGTTGGTGATGGAATTGTACTCGCTGAGGGAGGGGAGCATAAAGTACAGACTCGAGAATCTGCAGATTATTGAGCTAACAAGCCCTTTCAGGTCCAGCGTAAATCGCTTAACCTGGCGTTCTCGCCCCGTCATATTGAAAACCTACATGCCATGTTCTGGTCCAAGAGTCTGGATATGGTCAGTTTGATAGAAAAAGATTTTGCGACAAGAACAAATGGAGACAACACCATTAAAATAAGTGACTGGTCTAGTCGTGTGACACTCGACATCATTGGCCAGGCAGGCATGGGTGTTGAGTTTGACTCTTTGGAAAACCCTCAAAGTACGCTCTACCAAGCCTACCGGAAGCTAATGACACCATCAAAGAGTGAAAAACTGCTTTCTGTGTTTTGTATTTTGTTCCTACAGCCCAAGCTCATCTACCGAATCCCCACAAGGCGTAACCGCGAAATTAAGGCATCCCAGCAGACAATACGCGATGCTGCTCGAAGGGTGATTCAGCAGCGGATGGCTGAAAAGGAAACAGTCGAAACAAAGATCGATATTGTATCATTGGCCCTTAGCAGCAAGGCATTTACCGAAGAGGGACTTGTTGACCAAGCAATGGCCTTTCTTTCGGCTGGGCATGAAACAACAGCAGCAGCTCTGCAGTGGTCAGTTTATGCTCTTTGCAAGTATCCAGACGTCCAAATGAGGCTTCGCGAAGAAGTCCGCGCCCATCTACCTGTCTCTTCAATGGAAGAGCCTAATCTCCCTCTGACTGCGATCAAAAACCTCCCTTTTCTGAATGCATTCTGCGACGAGGTCCTTCGCTACTACCCTCCGGTTCCAAAGACTGTTCGCAGGGCTGTTCGTGATACATTAATTGCTGGTCATTTTATTCCCAAGGGTACCATGTTCGTCCTTGCCCCACAGGTCATCAATCATATGGAGGAATTATGGGGGCCCAACGCTAAAGCCTTCGATCCGAACCGTTTTATAAGCCCAACAGGGGCGTATCAGCGTCCAAAGTCCAACAACTATGCCTTTTTGACCTTTCTACATGGACCTCGAAGCTGTATAGCGCAGGACTTCGCCAAAGCAGAGCTTTGCTTTTTGATCTCTTCACTTGTCAGGCGTTTTCATATGGAGCTGCAGTACCCCAACGCCAAGCTACTGGTTCAGGAGGACGTTACTGTAAGGCCGAGCGATGGCGTATTGGCCAAGTTTACCACTTTGGAGGGACTTTAAAGCTCAAGTGAAAGGATATATGTGACGGCAGGACGGTTATTTTGGGTGATACTTAGCCCACATCCCAGTAGAGGGTGTTGGTGTATCCTTCAGCGTTGGAACCTTGGGAATCGACTGATATATTACCGGGATATGTTGTATCTTGTACTCGCTCATCGATAGTCATCCTTGCTGCATTCCCATCGCTCTCGCTCATTGAATCCCCTTCCCATTTCACCTCTCCGCTGTCTCCCATTCTGCTTTCAAAACCTGCTCAATCCTCTGATTTCGACATAGAAATTCAACAGCGAAAGGCTTGGGAATCGTCATAGTGCCAGTCTCGTAAGCATCATGTGACAGATCCACTTCCCCGGGGGCAACTAGCTCGAAGGCCCACAGTATCTTAGCAATTGTTATAAACATGCTATTCTCTGCCAGGTGCATCCCAGGGCAAATGCGTCGTCCTGCTCCAAAGTCCCAATGATCACGACCATATGAATCTGATGAGGCAGCATACAAAGCTGCTCCCTTTGGATGTCTGAGATATCTTTCTGGTCTGAAGGATTCCGGCTCGGGAAATAAGGATGGATCGTAGTGTAATGCGTATTGGTTCATGGCTATAGTGCTGTTTTTGGGTATCGTGCGCCCTTTGTAGCAGATGTCAGCCGTTGTGTAGTGTGGTATGCTTAGGCTGGCGAGTGGGCGAATGCGAAGAATTTCTTTGCAGATAGCTCGGATATATGGAAGGTCATTGGCGTCGGCGAAAACAGGTGAACGTGAATATCCAACCACTTGATCGATTTCGTCATGCGCCGCCTGTTGGATATCTGGATAAGCAGAGAGGTATAGCATACAGCTATTGATTGCCGATGAAGTCGACTCTGCTCCGGCTTCTATCAATGCTACTTCTATTAGCTGTCATGTGCAAAACATGTAGGAATCATAACGTACACCCCGCCAGGAACGCAGCTTGAAGCTCGGTAATTTCCATTTTCGGATAGCCCGTCTCGATGAACTGCTTAACAAAACAATCGGGAGCTTCTCCCGCCTCCATCTGTGTTTTCAGCTCTGACCAGAATCTCATCCAGAGGGTCTCTTGCCGCTTGAATAATGGATCCAGGGACTTTCTCCACCATTGCAGCTGAACAGGAAGAATCTCAGCTAGATGAGGGATTCCATCCGCAACATTCGTTAGTCCCGGAGAAGACACGTCGGAGAAGTCCTTCACAACCTGATATATATCGCGGACGTCATCGCATTCCTATGGAATAGTAAGTTCACAAGCAATCAATCCTCATCTGTAAGGCTCCTCGCTCACCCAAGTTGGTATCCTTTTCCCATACGTCGAAGTCATGAGTACTGAAACAGTATACCGACGAATATGCATATAAAAGTCCATATTGTTTTCATTGCTCGTTAACAGATCATAGATTAATTGTTTGGCTTCAAAGTCTTGCGAAGGCTGAAATGTTGCTGACGCCCGAGGAGACAACAGACCGTGTGCCACAGATCGTAGGCGCCTCCATTTCAAGCCGTATGGCATGAAGAGAAATCGCAAGCCACCGGACAAAGCATCAGAAAGAACTGGCCATGGTGGCCGCGAGGAAGTCACAGCAGATTGCTTGTCGAGGATTTCTTTGACGGCTTCGGGGGAGTTGAGTATGTACCAGTCTGCCAAGCCAAGACGAACACGATATATCTCACCAAGCTGCCGCGCCCATTGAATAAACTGGATATGAGGCCGTGGTGAGATCTGAAAGGAATTCCCGATCAGGGGGAGACCTGGGGGAGAGGGAAATTCTGGAGCATGATTCTTTCGAGACTCCAGATATAGATAGATGATAGGCACAATGAAAACAAAGCAGAAGATCATGGTCATAGTGGTGTTTGTCGATCTGTGGTGCTAAAATGAGAAAAGAATTCTACCGGTGTGGCTACTTCTCTTATCACTCGACCATGTGTTTGCTGGCTATTATCTCTGCTTAGTCTCGCGTGTACGAAATTCAACGAACGACACAAGCAAGGTTACTACTTGTGAGGCTACAATTCGCAAAAGTCACGGAGCGCAAAGTGGAAGAGCAACCTGCTCTAAGTAAGCAACGATGTACGGGCTACATACTTACGGAAACCAAGTAATCAAAAATACCATCGCAGATCTTGAAAGTTGTCTGGGTCGATGATGATTGTGGATCGATAGAACGGCGGATCAACTACAAAATGGGCCACGCTATTGTTATCGGCTCCACTGTGCACCCATGCTAGAGGCGCCGGATAAAGATTCATTGCCCAATGAGGCGGCTAAAATACGCATGAACTCTTCAGTATGAATATTTCTTTTTGTGGCTGGCTGATGTGAAGAGGGCCGTGCTATGTATTTGTGTATAACGAGACTGCACTTTGCCAATTTGGCTAATGATGAGCGGTAGCAAGTTAGCACGATGCACACCGCTGCTTTTCCGTCGTTCGGCAATACGCCAGAGAGGGGGAGAGTGATGTGCTGTGGAGTGAGACTGGGGACGGAGAATAGGTAACCCGCGGCCGTGTTCTTGCAAACAGTTAATTGAGACCTTAGCACCGCTCTATGAGCGGATGAATTGATCATCACCTGGAATTGAGATCCATGAGCTGCAAGTCTTACATTTCTAGGGATTTTACATGTTTTCTCCAGTTTGCGGCCCATCATCGATACGGATAATCTTTCAAATAGTCTGCTCATACACTGGTCGTAATTTATATTTTATTTAGCGAATTCGGCATGGCCATCTTCTGTAACCTACACTGTCTAAGCCAAGTGGGTCAAACATTGTTGATTCGAGCTCAAAAAGGACCCTTGTTTTGAATTGTCATTGTTCTCAGCCAAGAAGCGGTAGGGATGAGGAGGCATACTGATTGTAACTCAGCTGAATTTCACATCCTGATGACTTGGATTCCGCAAACACGGAATAGAAAGAAAGGATGTAATTTTATCTGGCTGTTACTGGCTCATTGTTTCACCATCCAACCTTTATTTCCCTCCACCTTCTCATTTACCCTCCACCTTCTCTTTTCCCCCTCCATCTTCTCTTTTCCACTCTCATTGTCCTTCTAGGCTTTAGCCTCCTCGCCGGACTTTCACAATGCCATCTAACCATCCAGAGTCCCCACCGGACTTCAACTTCATTCAAACTCCCCCGGCGTCTAAGCAGTCAAAGCCTGAATTTGACTGTGGTGTGCGAACGACTCTGGTGTGTGAACTCTACAGAAATCTTGTTAGCTATGAATAGAAGGATGATTTGAAAACTAATTTGCTTCTATAGTATTCCGCCATCAAGAATGCTCCTGTCCCAGCCGATTCACCCGGAAGTGACAGTTTCTCTAACGGCTTAATGGTATTCTTCATTGCTTCGGTACCCTGGTATCTTGCGCGTCAGCTAGGAGAAGGAGGACTATATTTGACCTTATTTATTGCCCTCTTCACAACTATTCCCGTGATAATGCTTTTTTGGTCCGTTTCCTCGTCACTCTCTCCACGCAAGAATGAAAAGGTCAAGTACGCAGGTCGTCCTGTTGAGTATTACCTGGAGTTCCACGACGAGTTGGACCGGGCCACATATCGTGGCAAACACAAGATCCCTATGGAAACATTCTACGAAAAATATTTCAATGGCGATGTCTCCTTCAAAGATGATGCCTTGGAATGCCTCGAATACCGTCATGATTGGGCAAATTTCAAATTCACAATGGGTCTTTTCAAGCACTTCCTCGTGAGCTTTATCCCGCAGCTACTAATACACAATCGCTCTCAAGGTAAGGCTGAGATTTGGATCTGTTTATGGTACCGATACTCAAATTTTAATACTTAGATGAAGAGCAAGTACGTGGTCACTATGACCGTGGGGATGACTTTTACTCATGGTTTTTGGGCCCGCGTATGATTTATACCTCAGGAATTGTCAGCGACATTCATACCGAGGAAACGCTGGAGAAACTTCAGGATAATAAATTGGCCATAGTCTGTGAGAAGATCAACCTCCAAAAAGGAGACGAAGTCCTCGACCTAGGCTGCGGATGGGGTACACTGGCGAAGTATGCTTCGGTCCACTACGGCGCCAGAGTCACAGGCATCACACTTGGTCGCAACCAGACTCTTTGGGGAAACAAGAGGCTAAGCGAAGCTGGAATTGACAAGTCGCAAAGCCAAATCTTTTGCTCTGACTACCGTGATTCCCCACGTGCTAGTGGTGGCAAAGGCTATCAGAAAATCACATGCCTTGAGATGGCAGAGCACGTCGGTGTCCGCCACTTTTCATCATTTTTAGGCCAGGTATACGATATGCTTGAGGATGATGGGGTGTTCTTCCTCCAAATTGCCGGTCTCCGCAAGCCCTGGCAGTACGAAGATCTTATTTGGGGCCTTTTCATGCATAAATATATTTTCCCTGGTGCTGATGCCAGCACACCTTTGGGTTTTGTGGTTGGTCATCTGGAAGCTGCTGGCTTTGAAATCAAGAGCATTGATAACATCGGTGTTCATTACTCTGCCACTCTTTGGCGCTGGTATCGTAACTGGCTCGGTAATCGTGAGAAAGTCGAAGCCAAATATGGAGCGAGGTGGTTCCGCGTTGGTCTTCCCTGTTCTCTCTGTTCCTTCTTGACTTTGAATTAATAATTTACAGATTTGGGAATACTTCCTTGCCGCCTCCACCATTACCTCTCGACAGGGCGGTGCCACATGCTGGCAGATCACCCTTGTTAAAAATATTAATTCAACTCATCGAATTGAAGGCCTTGGTACACAGTTTGGAATTAATGGCGCACTCCAGGCTGCTATTAACCGCACCGGGGCCCTAGCAAGTAGCCATTTGAAATGACCAAAAGCTTGATATGTCCATATACTTATCGGACTTAGCGCGCACTATTCGCACCTTTCACTAAGTGAGGAAGGTGAGGAATCGTTGAGTAATCAACGGGGTTTTGTCTTGGTCCCCAGATGATATCATTTATCATATTACTGGAGCAAAAGAAGGAATGAAGAACGCATGAGAACTTTTGGAATCCAACACACTAGTGGGATAATCGAACTTTACAAGATGCAAAAAAAGAAAAAGAAAAAGAAAAAGTTGAGTTTTGTGAGACTGGCAGAACATAATGATCCATAATTTGCATTACCTAGATACAACTCTATCATCATGTGAGTGAATATTCTTCACAGATGTTGATGGCTACGGATGTATCGCTCGTAAATGAGTCAGTGAGAGTCTCCTAGGGAGTAATTTTATTGGGGTTGCCTCATGTGATGGACGCGAAGCAACATCGAGCTTACTGAGGGGTTTCTTCCATCCTGCAATTGCC